CTCACTCGACACGACTGAGGGACTCGACGGACGCAGACACAGTGGCAAAGACACAAAGTCGAAGTCTTGGATTCCGAATGCCAAAACAGGGGCAAGTCACACTGAGTACGAGTACAACGGCTGAAAACTGGTCCGAGACTGGTCCCCGTACTGTACAGGGAGCCGGTATAAGTTCCGGTGACACGTACGGTACCAGGGGCATTTCCACAAAAGCCCCGAGGGCAGAACTGAAAATGCGGTATTTGAAAGTGGCGCCCGAATTGCAGCATGGCGCCAGTTGTCCAAAATCCGACGGTACCAAAAGGGTGCCAGGCCGAAAACGGGATGGAGCAGAAACAGCAAAAAGATAGACCAGGGATCGAGCCCTGGCGGAGTCCGTAACACTATCCCCTCCCTCTGAAAGGCAACGTCCCGGCTGCCAAAAAGCCAAGGAAACAAAAAGAGTTGTGAAGGACAGGACGGGGCCGATCACTGGTCAGAGAAGGAGAAGGGGAGTGATGCAAGTCACAGGGTATTATGTCTGGTGCTCTGCACAGGTGAAGGTATGATGTGACTGGATGGGTCTATAGGGGAAGCTAAGCAATGTTCGGGGAACAGGGGATTTCTTTTGATGTTCTCCTGGGTAGGGGAAACGATGTTCAGGAAAATCGGGAATTTCTATTGATGTTCTAGTGGGTAAGTGAACCAATGGCCAGCGGAACAGGGAATTTCTATTGATGTTCTAGTGGGTAAGGGAAACAATGGTCAGGGGAACAGGGATCTGCCAATGATGTTCTACAGGGTTGTCAAAATTAGGAAAATAAATAAATAAATAAATAAATATGAAAATGTTTGTTCAGGAACCAAGGGCTGGTGTGTCCGAAGGAGTCGGAAGCAGAATCTCATGTGGGAACAAAGTGTCCAAGTGCCTTGAAAGGGGATCTGCAGCGGTCTTGATCAGGTCTAGGAGTAGGTGGTAGAAGCGGTCTTCAGCGGCTGTGACAGGTAGAAGTCCAAGAAGTGTAACAATCGTTCAAATGTCCAAAGTCCAAGTGCGGGGGTGCGTCCGGGACACGAACTGCAACGAGGTCTGATCAGGACACAAGGAAGTCGCAGACTGATGCAAAGATCCATGTCACAAGTTGCTGTCCACAAGTCGGGATGCCGGGTGATGAGACAGCATGCTGGCCAAACCAGCTGCATAATCTCCATGAACAGTGAGGCAGCAGGCCATCGTCCTTGTGCGCTTGCCATTAGATCCTTTATCGCCGGCGTCACGCAGGTTCATAAGCATTGGACGAGAGAGACAAGGTAGTGGAGAGGACAGATGGGACAAGGCTAGGCGAGGGCAAGGGCAGATCAGACATTAGGAATCGGGGCCGAGGGGAGGATGGACTGGGTTCAAGGGTGTGTGCAGAACGGGGTTGAGAGGTTGTAGCACGGTTTATACATGGGTTTAGAGTTGTAGTTATGTGGGTGCCTAGGACATAGGAGTAGCACGATCATAGGCGCGGATAAGTTTCATGGCGTTTTTGAGATTCGAGAGAGGTTCCCATGTAGATTCTTCGTCCGGGTATCCCGTCCATTTGACTTTGTATTCAGTGATTGGTTCCGGGTGGTCAGATACCTGAGTAGTTCGTTGACCTATGATCTCTTCAACAACGAATTCAGGGTCTGTGGGTAACATGATAGGTGGAGGTCTAGGATACGGGCGGTCAGCGAATTGGGGTGGGATTCATGATATTCTTTCAAGTATTCGACGTGGAAGACCGGGTGGACGCGGCTCATGTCAGGGGGGAGTTGAAGTTTGTAGTTGACGTCGGAGGTTTTTTCAATGATGGGAAAGGGTCCGAGCCATTTGTTCAAGAGTTTCTTTGACAATCCATGTTCGGGTTCAAAGCGTTTGGCGGAGAGCCAGACTTTGTCCCCTACTTCGAATTGCAAGTCTCGTTTGTGTTTGTTGATCTTGTTTGCTTGTTGTTCTTGTGTTCTTTCAAGGGCTTCGGTTGCTTCTCTAAGGAGTCGATTCATTGTTGATACCCATTCATTGAGGGAAGGGCAGGGTGTGGAGGGGTTGAGTTGCGAGGGAAGCAGGAAATCAGAGGGCAAGTGCGGATGGTAGCCAAGCTCAAGGTAGAATGGAGACATGCCAGTGGAAGGGCAGACAGCGTTGTTGTAGGCGATCTCAGCGACGGTGAACAACTGATCCCAGTCGTGTTGATGTGGATGACAATACTTCCGTAGGATTCTTTGGAGAGTATCGTTCATCTTCTCGGTTTGTCCATCGGTCTGTGGGTGGAATGCAATGCTATACTTGAGTGTAGTTCCGTAGGCGTTGAAAAGTTGTTTCCAGAACTGTGAGAGGAAACGGGGATCGCAGTCGCTAATGATATTCTCGGGGAGGCCGCGGTGGCGTACAACATGGTCGAAGAAGAGTACGGCGATGTCTTTGGCGGTGTGCGAGGTGGTGCAAGGGATGAAGTGGGCGCGTTTGGTCTGGCAGCAGAAAATGACGTAGATGCAATCATGCCCGTGGTCGGTCTTAGGGAACCCGCATACGAAGTCCATGGAAATGGCCTGCCACCGATTACTGGGGATGGGCAATGATTGGAGCTTGTCGGGTTTGGCCCGGTCCGAGGGATTGACAGCCTGACACGTGGGACATGAGCGAATGTATGTTTTGACATCGGCGAGTAGAGACAGCCAATAGAAGTAGCGGGAGATGGTGTCGAAGGTTTTCTGGAAACCGAGGTGACCTGCGGTCTTGGCGTCGTGGTGCTCGGCCAAGAGCTAGGTACGGAGACCACGTGTGTCAGGGATGCACAGTCGGCGAGTGCCTTTGGTGTCGATGTAGAGGAGGTTGTCGTGGAAGGAGTAGTCGGGGACTGGGTCAAGATCCCGGAGCTTGTGTAAATGGCGGCGAAGTCTGGGCAAGAGAGGTAGCCTTCGGTGTATCTGTGATGGAGTGATGGGAGAAGTTGGATATGGGTCATGGCGGCGTAGACTTTCTCGGGGGGCTTGTGGTCATGGCAGCTCGATCGACGGGATAGTAGACGTCGTCGGGAGGGGGGCAGACGGAGTAGACTGCGTCGCCTGGGGATCGTCCGGTGGGATGTGTGTCACCGGAGGGGGGGTAGGCAGACGGATAGTCGATGCCAACTGGGCCACCGGTGGAGGAGAGATCGTCACCGATGGGAGAGCCGACAGACAAGTGGTCGATACCCGGGGAGGATTGCAAGAGACAGGGGGACAGTGTTCAAGTGGAGGAGGGCCCGGCTGTTGCGGTGGAGGAAGAAGTGGGAGTAGAAGGGTTGGGTCCCGCAGAGCGAGGGGCCTAGCGAGTAAAGCGGCTAGCGTTGGGGCAGTTGGTCTGTTGGTGACCTAACTGGCGGCAGCGAAAACACCCGTTGTGTTCTTGGAGGTATATGTGTTCTGCGGGTGCAAGTTTCTGGAGACGGCGGGGTGGAGAGGAAGAAGGCGGTCAGGAGGCACGATCCTGACGTTCCATCCGCATAAGGTGGGCGGCCTGGAGGTCCTCAATGGTGAATTGGGAGGGGCCGAGAGAGGCAGTGTCGAAGTCGTCATCGGAAGTGGGTGGAGTGGTGTCGTCAGGGGTGATGTTTAGAAGAAGCGGGGGCAGGAGGGAGCGCGTGCGGACTGGTGATGGGGGTGGAGGAGTTATCGTGGTGAAGCATGCGAAAGAGGAGGTCAGCGAAGGGCATGTCGGGTTCGTGGGCGAGGACGGTTGCAAGATTTTTGTGGCATACTCGCCTGATGTGGGAGATGAATGCAAAGTCGGGAACGACGGTGGTGGGGAGGTGATGGCGGAGGGAGCGGATGTATTGGACGAAGCAGTCCGTGGGACCGGTCTGGTGGAGGTGACAAAATTGTTCGAGGTAGTCATCGATGGTTTTCTGGGGGGGGAAGGTGGCAGTGAGAAGGTTGTCCCATTTGAGGAAGGAGTGACGCGGTCCTCCGGAGGCGCGACGGTTGCTGACTTCGGCCATCCACCATTTGGCGGCATTGCCGAGGAGGCGGGAGGTGGCAATGGGAAGCCAGTGGACAAGGGGGCATGTGGTGGAGCTTGAAAGAATTCTGGAGCTGGGTAAGGAAGAAGAAAATGTCCTCGTGGGGAAGGCCGGAGAAGGGCATGATGTCAGCGGATCAGAAGGAACGGGGGATTTCCCCTTTGCGGGAAATGATCCGGGCTTGGGTGTAGAAGTTGAGGTTATCGGGGGTAGTGTCGTGGCAGGTGTAATCGAATTGGTTGTTGTCGTCAAGGAGGTAGTTGGGGGGAAGTTGTGGCATTGCGGGGTAAAACCCAAAGGTGACTTGGGAATTGGTGGGACAGGGGGTGGGGATGGTGGAGGTCGTCATGATGGGTTGTGAGATAGTATGGAAGTGTGGGGGGGGAAGATGGGTGATGTGGTTCGGCGAGGAATGAGGTGGTGTGTTGGAAGCGCCGGATGAGGG